TAGATTTTCAGTAAAACTACGTAAAAGAAACTCTCGACCAGCATAGTAAACTTAACAGGCCTCCACATTTGAGCGATTGTTGTTTTGCTGATAAAAATGGATGCGACGACCAAACAACAATTACCATTTGCAGACTCCATTTGACCAAAACAGCGCAGCGAAAACGATGAATTGCAGTCGTCCACCAGAAACAGATTCGCACAACTAAATGCTAACGTACATTAGGGTGTCCCACCAAAAAAATTTCTAGTTTTTTTTTTCAAATTAATATTTATTATATTCAAAATATTTCGGGAAAATATTAAAATTTACATATGTGAGCTAAACCGATTTAAAATACCTCCAAAAATTTACATGATTAAATTGTTAAATATTTTTGTGCAGACCTCATCAAAATTTTGATTTTTTAATTAGATTTCCTAGAAATAACGCATGAGCCAAACTTTTTCTTTACTTTTATATGGAACAAAATGCGCAGCATCCTCGACAAAAAAAATCTAAAAAATCAACGGTAATTTTGAACGACTTGAAACTTTATTATACCAAAATTGGGTGGGTTATAAAACTGCATCGAAATCTTTCTAGGAAATCTAATTAAAAAATCGAAAATTTTTTAAGATGAACATTTTTTTAAGTTTAATTAGTTTTTGTGAACTTTGTGCAAGCTTTGAAATTTTGATTTTTGTGGTATCTGATCTAGATCGACCCATATTTTATTATTAACAACAAATAAATAAAGATAAGTTGCCAACAGCACCATTTTGAATTTTGCTGCAATAATTTTTGACTGATATATAAAAGTAAGTATTTTCAGCACACGTAAATCTCAATATTTTTACGAACTATTTTAACTGATTTTAAAATTTCGATGAGCAAACAGTTATGATTTTTTTGTATGTAGAGTGAGGCACCCTAACATGCCATACATATGTATGTATGTGCACATGTATGTGATATATATGTTTATGCATGCGCAAGTAGATAAACGTGCAACAAACACTTATGCTGTACTGCATACAGCTGTAATGTAGTAAGTACCCTGCAGTGAAAATCCAAACCAGTTAGAAAAAATACTAGTTCATTACCTAGTATGTGCCTACCAGTTCGACAATTTCGAAGAACTTAAGCGTTTAGCTTTTGAATTGCCAAAGCCAAAAACGCAATCAATTGCTTTTCATACAAATGTCGACTGTGGCGTCACGTGAAGACTATTGGTTCTGGTTCTGAGATCGCAGGTTTCGAGGCCGCTTGGAGGTGGTTAAGATTTTTAAAGTTAAATCAATTATTTCAATTTAAAAAAATAATTATTTCAATTTAAATATAAATAACAAATTTGAAAATTTAATTGCATTGCTAAAAAAACATAGATATGGGAAGAAATACGTGTGCCATAAAAAAAAAAAAACATAATAATATTCTTTTTAAATTAAATTTAAAAGTTACAATAAAAATCCTAAATAAAAAAATAAATAAAAAATAAAATAAAAATGAAAAATTGTTGATGTAATGTGGAACTATTTTCCGTCATCCCTTGTCAAATTTGGTTTGGAGACAAACCGGTTTCGGCGTTGTGCCATCTTCAGTGTCATTTTTCGTTCTCGAGACGAACGAAAATTAGAAAATAAAATTTTTCTCTGCGCCAGCACCTGAACCTGGGACCTTAGGCATACCGCGTATGTGCTTTGCTCTATCGGACATTGCAACTGTTGGAGCGCTGCGAGCAAAGAGGCATACTTATGCTTTTCACGGGGATTGAATTGGCAGACTATCCCATCAACACGTATGATGCCACTGGTATCGTGGTGGTCGTGGGACATCGCAATGTTAAAAATACCAGTCGCTAGCATTGAAAAAGAATAGAACGTGAACTAGTGGGGCTAAAACACAAACTGGTGGAATTCTAGTTCCCAACTTGTAGCTTTCCCTGCAGGGTAGTTACGCGCCAAAATCCAATAATTTAAGTCTTCACAGCGCTGAAAAAGCTAAAAAAAAGCTCTACAACTGCGCTGCACAAAAATATGCGCTTGTATGCATAAATGTGATTGTGTGCGCCAGTTTGTGTACGCGCGTGTGTGTGTGTGTGTGTGTGTCGTCACGTTTGTGTTGGTGTATGCGAACGACTTTAGGAGCGAGCCACAATCGCGCTACTATAAATAGCTTAAATAGGGCTCGCTGATGCGCAGTCTTTTTTCAAACCCGGTTTCACTCACTCGAAAACTACGAAAAATTACGTTTTGAAAGCGAGCGCGTTACTTAAACAAAATTTGTATTGAGAACGGTATTTACATGAAGACACATTTTTGTAAAATAAATTATTAGGCAATTAAAAAAAAAAAAAACGAGACGACAAGTTATATCCTTTTTCCGCTGTGCAAACTTTTTTACTGTTTTTCGTAAATAATTAAACAACATTTTTTATAATTAAAAAAAATGAACACATTCGTAAGTTTAAAGTATTTTTGTAATTTTTTTTATTTTTTTTTTATTGTTCCGGCGGGTTCTGCAATTCACTTCCTTGTGAATTTCAACCAAAGCCAATTTAAATTCAAATTAAACGGCGTTTAAATGCACACGGAAGTGAATTGCTGAATCTGCCTGTTAGTGAGTACATAATTTTCTCAAAAAAAGTGACTTAATCCTTACTATTAATTTTTTTTTTCTCTTTTTTTCACTTTGTCTCGCGTCATCTCTCACCACTGTTCATCACGTTCCATTTGCACTCGTATACTTAGTTGTTAGTGTGCGCCATTGGCTTACTCCTTGCGGTCACATCCTGCCAGTCACAACACCATCACGGTCACCCAAATCAGAATAATATACCGCGAGACGAAAAAGTGTCCGATCTTCGCGATCACCACCGCGAAAGCACCACTTGGATACCGATACTTAAGTACAATAAGGAACAAAGTGAGGATGGCAGCTACAAAACCGAATATGAGACCGGTAATAATATTGTGCATGAAGAGACGGGCTTCCTGAAAGATTTCTCCGAAGCAAATCCCAACGGCGTGCTGGTGCAACATGGCCAATACTCATACCAATCTCCCGAAGGCGATTTGGTGAATGTGCAATACACAGCCGATGAGAATGGTTTCCGCGCGACCGGCGATCATATACCCACACCACCGGCCATACCAGAAGAAATTCAAAAAGGTTTGGATCAAATCTACGCAGGTATTAAGCTGCAGCAAGAACGTTTGGAACAGCGTGCCAAGAGTGATCCTGATTTCGCTAAGAAGCTGGAAGAGCGTCGTTTGGCCAATAAGAATGGTCAATATATAGGACCATTGGAAAATGCTTAATTGCGCGAGTGAAAATTTAATAATAGAAGATTATTTGATAAAAATAAAAAAAACATTTGAAAATATTTAAATTTATAAGAGATTTCGGAAGCGATTGTGGCGCTTTTATGAAGAACAAAGACTGTGATTTGCTGCAAATGAAGAAATTCGTGGTATTAATGAAAAATAATAATTGGATGTAAAATTTTGAATAACTTAAAAAATTTTAAGAAAAATTGTGAACCTCAAAATTTTATGGATAGAGAAATTATTTTGTTTATTAAAACCGTATATATGCTGGCATGTACTTGTTTTACTTGTACCTAATTATCTAAAAATTAAAGAATACCTACTCCATGTACATAAATAAAAAATGAGATTTTTTTACAAAAAAAAATAATCTTTTTTATTAATTTTTGGAAAAAAAAAACTGTTTTGTACTTCAATGCACTGCTCTTTCGCGTTCGAACTTATTGAAAGTGCAAGAATAACGATATTTTATTTTAAGAAAATTGAAAACTCTGTTTGGAGGAAAATTTTATGCACGCAATTTTTTATAAACGCGTGCTTATTCGAATTTATCGATCAAACGCGATTATACATCTCGAGCCCTAACGTAGCCGGCATATTTTTCAAAAATTTATTATTCATGCAGAAGAGCTTCTAGCGCCCTTAGTTTTATTTGTGCATCAAACAGAAAATTTTGGAAAAAAAATATCGCATACGTTTTTCAACGGTTGAAGCTCGATCAGATTCCTGATGGAATTCATTTGCCTACCTTTACCAAATGTTTTTCTAAAAAAAAAAATATTGCTTCTGAAAAAATTCTAAAAAATTTTTTTATAGGCATACGTATCAGAGCTTAAAAATTGTATGGAGCTATAAGCGACAGAGTTTATGTGCGCTTATGAATAGTTGTCGATAAAATCAAAATCACTTGTTTTGAAATGGAAATTGTCGATTATTGTTTTTTTTTTATACACGTTAAGCTTAGATGTATGTATATGCATGCAAAAAACAACACAACTATAAATACAGTGCATTAAATTTATAACTCCATTATATTAAAATGAAATTTTATCCAAACGTTTTGTTTTAACAACTTTCTGCTTGAGCGGGGTGCTCTTGTATGTGTAAGTAGTATGAAAATAAAAACAGTTCACACCCCATTTCTGTATTTCAATTTACCATTACATGTATGTATATACATATATACACTGGCGGTCATTAGAATAGACTCGCCTTACTTTGAAGATCTTTGGCTATATTTCCATGATTTATTTTTTGTTTAATATTTTTTTATAAAAGCCTTGCTAGCTATACAAAAAACGCCATATAAATCCTCTTTTCAAACTTCAATACAAAAATTTTAAAAATTCGACAAATTTTCACCAATTTTTTAAACTTTTTATTCAGAATTTTTAAAAAAATTTCTGGCATGCAGTTTTGTAGCCCATTCATAGAAAAAAAAATTTTAAAATTAACAGTATTTTGTAGCCAATCGAAACTTGATCTTTGTTATCCTAAAATTGAATGGTATACAAAACTGGATATCAGAAATTTTTCTACAAATTCTGAATTAAAAGGTTAAAAATTTGGTGAAAATTTGTCGAATTTTTATAATTTTTGTATAAAGTTTGAAAAGGGGATTTATCCGGTGTTTATTGTATATTCAGCTAGACAGGCTTTTATAAAAAAATATGAAACATAAAATAAACCATGGAAATATAGCCAAAACTCTTCAAAGTAAGGCGAGTCTATTCTAATGACCGCCAGTGTATGTATGTAAATTCAAACATTTATCGCCAACTTCACATTTTTCATATTTTACGATTATTTTTCTCTGCACCCTCTTGCCACTGTAACGGTTGTGTGAGCGCCTTCTTAAATGTTAATGGCGTTGAAGATGTGTTAATCATCAAAACAACTAAACAAATTTATGCATACATAATACAAATATTAAGAGCCAATTCTCCGTAACCGCCAACATGAATATCGTATCACGTCGAAACAACATCATTATTAGCTGAGAAAACGTGCACAAATGCAATACATACACACTTCCTTAGATATATATGGCTAAGAAAAATGTACATGGCGGCCAGTTTTCTTGGCACATATTTACTACATACAATAAAAAAGTCGGCCAAAATATGTAGAAATGCAGAAATCTCGACGCTAAGGCCGACTCGCGATGCATATGCTGCTCACTCGCTTCATGAATGCCACTGCATATTGCATAACATTTAGATAAATCGCTTGAGTCACATTGCTACATAAACAAGTGTATGTACATTAGAATGTCTCACGCAAAAAAAGTTGCTGCTTATATATGGCGCCGAACAAAAAAAAAATATTTTGTATGGTGGTGTTCTAAACGTTCAAAATACACCTAAAAGTTCCGTTTGACTCATGAAATTTTTAGCTGAAACCCAGGCTCATTAAACAAGTACTTTGTACTCTAATAAAAGGAAGGTTGCCACCTGTTTGAAAACTTTAATTTAATTTAATTAATAAGATAATTTAAATATTGCAATATGGATATCAAAAAATTTACTGCCGAAACTATTTCTGAGAGGGGTTACAACCTGTTTGAAAAATGTTTATTCATTTTAATTTACAAAATAAATCAAATATTACAATACTGGTTAGTGTCGAACATATATTTGAGTTGCCACCTGTTTGAAAATTTTAATCCAGTTAAATCGATAAGCTAAGATAAATATTGAATTAGTACAACTTTGAAGAAAGTGTGCGATTTGTAGACTTGATTTATAAGATTATAAATAAAATTTACAGCATAAACCGATATTCTACCTACTTTCTAAATACCTTGGAAAATATATTAACTAACACCCACTTTTATAAAAAATAAATAATGCTCCTTAAATCGAAAATTTGTTTGAAAATCTCCTTTCACAAGCTCTTTAAATCTATTTTATTTTTTAGGAATGAGGCCCTAAGAGTTTTGGGGGCGGAGTAACAACACAAAAATACTTTTAAAGCGCAGTGAAGCCGGGTATTTGCTAGCGTTGGCATTTTTGTTAGGTGTTTGACCGAGCTGCTCCAGTGTCTGGTAGACGTCTTGATGATGGAGGCAGAAGTATACTCGAAAGCTTTCCATTGCTTGCCGAGGAGCGACCGCTTTCAAAAAAACTTGTTGTTGTTTAGTGCCGGTGCCAGTGTTGCCAGATGTTTTTTTTTTCAAAAAACTAAGATTCAAACACATTTTTTTTTCGACCAAAAAACTGTAACCTTCAAAACCCAAGGTAGTGTTTAAAAAACTAAGGTTTTTGAATTACATTAATGTACATAAATAAAAAACGCTTAATATAAAATAAAATACATAAACCGTTTAAACAACAAGTAATTTTTAAGTAAAAAACAAAACCGACTACAATTTTCATATAAAAATTTAAGAATACCGTTAATTTCTTCATGAGCCAACTATCAGAAATTACCATGGGACCATCCTAGGCTAGACTTGATGGTCAAAACTGGTTTTATAGTTTGTAATTTCACTTGCCTCTAGCTCAGTTTAGCGTGTAGTAAAAAACTTCTGAAACACATTAGGGGTCTTCACACCGAGCTTATTACTCGGTAACTTGGTGTTGCGTAATTTTTCCCCATATATTCTGTTTGTGTGCGGCGGCCGCTGTGGTGTAGCGGAAACTATTTAATATGTAAATTTGATGGATAAGGGTTAATTTATAATACAGTTTAGTTTATAATTCAAATGCCTTCGGAATATGTATTCAACCATCTACATATACATCATTGTCTTTTTTGAACATGTGATGAAACATGTTGAACAATTCCGGATTTAAACTTGCTCATCTTTTAAAGAAACTAAGTTTTAACGTATCCACTTCTTCGTGGCATTTTCTTTCCAGATCGGTTATTTGTTGTGTTTTATCGCTGAAGCTACGATGAATACGATGTTGGAAAATCTGACCGTGAGAAGCACTCTTCGGAGTCCATAGGCTGTTCGGACAACTTTAATAAATCATGCCTTCTCTGTGATTTTTTTTTTTGCAGGTGCAATTTTGTAGTATTTGAAATTGTTTCAGATTAGTCTCTATAATTACTTTGCCTATTTCTGGATTTGGTTCAAGAGCAGTAAGATTTTTTTTCATCCCTATGATATGGTCCTCTTCGACAATATCTAAGTACCCATTCTTTTTCTTTATCGCACGACAAAAAACGAGTTGAACAAAATGGTGGACGTATCCTTACTATAAATCTACTATTTGCTTTGAAGATACCCTCGCCGACATTATAGCTATCTTCATCTAGATTGCTCATAAATACTTGTTGGCCAGTTGTTCCGATACCATTCATAATTTCCCAAGCAAAACACCGTTCTTCCACCGAACAATATTTCCAATTATCGAAATTTACTTGATTACTTCAAAGTCAACCTTCAAATGCAGGCCGTCACTATAAATCATATGGTGCAGCTGCATTAATTTACCGTTCTCGAATATTTACTCCAAAGAATGCGAAAGCGAATGCGAATGTTAAAATTAATGCGGAAGCTCCACGGTTGCGAATGCGAATGCGAATATTCGCAACAACCCTTCTTCATACCGTCAAAAAGTGACACTGAAGATGGCAAAACGCCGAAAGCGGTTGGTACCTAAACCAAAATCGACAAGATATGACTTCATAAAAATAACCTTTTTTGATATGGCTTGGCCCGGGATTGAACGTGGGTTCTGCCAGGTGATAGAGTACACCTCTGAGAGGAGATAACGGTCAAACAAAAAGCATGATTTGCCGCAAAGCATCGTCTGCCGGGTCCTCCACTGCGGTTATATTTTTTATTCGATTTTCAACAATATAATACACTGAAAAATAATAACCTAATAACCCAGAAGATTTACAATACACAATATACAATATAAAACTTAGTCTTGTCAATTGCATAAGATTTCTTCTGGAAAATTAAAAAATTTTATGTAGGTACATATTTCAGATTTTTTCTTTGGGTAATTTTGAAACACCCTTTGCTTGATTTATGAAACTTATACTGAATTTCCACTAGGCATTAAATGGCAAAAATGACAAATGACAACGTCGGCCATTAAAAAATAATAGTGTCATTACACTAAAAAAACTAATCACTAAGTTCATTTCCACATGGCATTTTTTTAAATGGCTTACATTATTTGTCATTTCAATGACCAAGTGGAAATTCGGCATTATTCTCATATTTTTGGCATTATAAATGAAAACAAACTTTAAGCAACTTGGCCACTTTTTCTTTAGCGACCGATACAACACACGCATGCTCATCAAAATGCTAACAAATCTCATCTGTATACCACATTTGAGATACCTATAACCAATTATTTCACACAGACTACTACATATGCAATTCTTTACAACTCATTCACTGCAATGAAGCATGCAAACACTCGTACAAGTTATATTTATAAACATTTTGTATAGTCTTCCTTATTAAAGTACCCATCGAAGTAGAAATTTGAAAAAGTGAAAAACCAACATCACAAAACTGCTGCGTGCTTGCAAACAATTAATAGGATGATCAAAAAAAAAAAGAAGAATGTTTATAACAAAAGCATTTCTTTCGCCTAAGAATTCAATAATGTTTCGAAACAAAATAGAATAATGAAGCGTCCATCATGAAGCATCGTTAGCATCGATGCTGGGCCAAACTGTGGATGCGCTTCAGTTGCTCAACTTATGCGAAACGGTACGGTCGATTCCACAGACACGGAGTGATCCAAAGAATTCAAGACAAAACGAAAGATAGAAAGAAGCAAACTTAGTTATTTATTTAGAAACCTATATACACCATACATATTTATATATGTATGTATGTATGTGTGCGCATATGTGATTTTATTGTTGGCTACACAGTGTACAAAACATCGAAATTTATTACTTATTGCTGTTCGTCGCCATCGGCAATTGTGCGGCTTAGTGTTCGAAGTGTTACTAAGTTGTTCTTGTGTTGATATTTTATTGTTGTTTAAGCGCAGAGTATAGCATATAGCGCATGCGCGTACGTTGACAGCCGTTAGATGAACGCCCAATAACACAATAGCCTGCAAAGAAAGAGGTAAACACAAAAGCGGCGCGGTAAACAAAAGTTTGTATTGTGCGATTTAATAGCAAAGTTTACGGTAAAATTATTGTTTGAAAAAGGTGTATAGAGAACTCACACACACACATATCTACGCCGCAGAAGCTGACCCAAATACATACAAACGTGTCTAAAATAATATTAGCCTACGACGAAGACAGTGTTTTGCGTGCATAAAAATTTAAATTTGACTCAATGCGACTGCGCAAATCACACCCAAATACTACCACCTGTAAAATAGTTAACACAGTGCACACTGCCAGCCACATAATGTACTCGTGTTATATGTTGCACTTGCTCTTGCTTTCAACATATTGCTGCAGCGCGCAAGCACCAAACACGGTAGATTACTTACCGCTTGGCGCACTCGGCGCTGCTGTAGAAGCGGACGCAAAGCGGATGACTATCGCGCTTCCGCAAGGTTTTAAACCAGAAGCGCCACCACACCAACCAATGCTTTTGCCCTTTGCTACGCCAGCGCCAAGTAGCCCGTCTGGCGGTTGGAGGCCCATAGTTGGCGATGCAGTGACACCACCTCACAGCATTATAATGACACCACCAACGCCGCTGGTACCGCCACCGCTTGCAGTGCTGCAGGATCGCATCGATTTGGGGTCGCGCGAGGAAAACATCGTCCAGCAAGATGGTCCATTATTAGAGTCGATTGTATATGGTACATGGAAGCCGCCGGAGCGTCCGCTGAGTCCCGACGAAATTCAAAAACCTACGGCGCCACCCGTTGCTGCTACGACAGCAATGTACAGCCGCAAGCGCCGTAAGTTGCACTCATTTTAAATTTGCAGTATCTAACTGTTTATTGTGGTAAGTGCTAAAGAATAGATTTGTTAAAATTTACAGCTGCAGCTTCATTGGAACGCCTTGGCGTCGAGCATCCGATTGCTGGCATACAAACTGCCGGCGCATCGCCATTGAATCAGAAATATGAACGCAAACGCATATCGACGACGACACGCGCACAGCATCTCTCCGCCGTCTCTCCACCAACCAAATACTACATACATTTCAATATGTCCGATCTGAATATACTGGAGATGGTCAAACAAATAAATGATTCAATTGACGAAACTTCGGCGCACTTACATACACTGAAAAAGCATACTTGGAAGCATCAGGAAACTTCCGAAAGTTCACTGGAAAATGAAAGTGAAAATGAAAATGAGAATGAAGTTAAATCAGAATCAGAAGCCGAGTCGGAAACGGAAATGCCAACCGCTGACGTTAGCAAAGTGTGGCCAACAGATTTCATAGCTTCATTGGAACGCCAAAAGCTGGCACAACAAAACGTCAGTTATAGTTTTAATGGAGATAGCTCTGATCCGCCGCAAGCATTAAATGGATTAAATATACCAAGCTCCTTGATGCCGGCGTTTAACATCACCAGAGTTGGCGTACCTTATGAGAAACAAAGCCCTGCCGAAGAGCCAGCATTATGTGTACCGCTAACAGTACTTGAACAGGCAGGCGAGGGGGAGGTAATGGAAGTAGAGCGAGTTTATTGCTTTCCACTACCCCCAAGCCATAAAGACACATCGGTAAGGGACGGCACAAAGGCAAAGGTGGAGAATTATACCGATTATGAGGGGATAAATGCGACGGACCGCCTCAATTTGAGTTACTATATACAGATTTTGAGCTTAATTTTAAGTATAATGAATTTCGTTAAACTTAAATTTTCTTGAAAATAAAAAAAAAATGTATTTTTTATAATAAATTTACGAGTATTATTTAACATAAAATTAGATAGTCAAATAGCCAAATTAGAGTTTCTCATAGCATATTTTCACCGAAAGCTTAATTGCAGTAAAGAGCTTTATTAAATCTCCCTTTATACTAGACATTTCCACCGCTTAAAGTAAACTCTAGCATAAAGTAATCTACAAATTGTGCCTAAAGGTGTGTACATTAGGGTGGTCCTTAAATGTAGGCAGCAAATTTTTATATCAGATTAGTGATATAGTATAGTCGAAGATATCACATACAAATTATGGCTCCGATTGGAGTCGGTTAAGGTGTTGCACATAGGGGTAAAAATTCAGATTACCCTATGAAGACGCCTTCTTAACCGACTCCAATCGGCACCAAAATTTTTATGTGATATCTTCGACTTTAGTAGTATCGATTTGGCTATTAAATGAAAAAAAAATTATTAATTTTTTAAGTCTTCATGGAGCATCCGTCCTTGGACCCCATCGCGGCGCGCCTTAATCGACTCCAATCGGGACCAAAATCTAAATGTGATATATTCGACTACGGTAGTATCGATTTTGGGTATGAGTTGGCAAAAAAATGTATTTTAATTTTTTTAACCTCTATAAAGGAATCTGAACTTTGGCCCCTGTGCGACACGGATTAACTGTCTCCAATCGGGACCAACATTTGTAAGTGATATCGGTGACCGTCGTATTACCGATTGAAGTAGTGAGACTGAAAAACATCACTGATTTGATTTTTAAAGACCACCCTAATGTATATAATAGTAAAAACCATATTCTACCGCCTATAAAAAATAATCTAGGTAAACTTTAGCGCACTTGGCTTCCGTGATGCAATTTGCAAGAAATCAGGTAATTTATGTTGTTATGTAAACATAGCTTTAAATCGCCCAAATTAAATTAACATTGTTCTGTAATACAATTAATTTTCTCTTTTAATTACAATTACAACAGATGCTAAGCGTAAATTGCAGTAAAGGTTCGGTGAAAACAGGCTATTATGTGATCTTAGTCAAGTGAACACTGCTCAGAGATATAGCAAAAATTACACAGCTGGACAAATTTTGCCTTTTTTCAATCACGTGAGCAAACCACATCGTTTCTTACAGATTTTCTGGTGCTGAATCCAAATGTGGCCGCATAATTGCTCTAGCACGTTAGGATTTTAAGACATCTTAACCTCAAAGTGCCAAAAACACGTTTTTGCGGATATTTGAGGTTATATTAAGAGAACAACATTTTTTTTTGCTCATTTCTACTTAGGGCATCATTTAGCACTACTCTTCCCCTATATCATTTTCATTTCGTGCGATTCGATTTTGCTTTCTCGAGATATGCCTCTTTCAATGTGCTGTACTTCGGTATTACTTCGTAAGCATGAGTCATCATACCTAATACCGAAGTACGGCACATTAAAACTGGTATATCTCGAGAAAGGGAAACGAAAATGAATTTTAAAGGAGAAGAGTAATACTAAATGATGTGCTAAGTAGAAATTACTTAAAAAGTTTGTTGTGTCATAGTATAACCTCAAATATCGCCAAAAAAAAAATCCGTCTTTTAGCACCTTGAGGTTAGGATGTCTACAAACTCTGACGTTCTAGAGAAATTCTGCGGCCATATTTGGATTGAGCGCTAGGAAATCTACCAGAAACGATGTGTTTTACTCAGGTGGTAAAATTTTGTTGAACTGTGTTATTTAGAAATTTTGTAGTTTAAATGCAATTTTCAAAGTAAGTAGTTAAGATCTGGTGAAATTTGATCAAGAGACATTCAAAGTGAAAAATTTTGAGTATTTAGCTTTTGAAATTTTTATATTGAAATTTTTTTTTTAGTGAAACTACTTTTGTATCAGTTAGAATGGGAATCAAGGTTTTTCAGCGGGGCTATTCTCAAACGATTTACAGCCATTAGTGCTGTGCGGTTCCGAGTATTTGAAAACCGGCTTCTGTCGAGTCCGGTTCCAAGGAGAATCGGAAATTTAGACCGGTTACGGTTCTCAAAAAAGTGCTAACGGAAATAGGCCTTATCGAAATAGCTTAAGAAAAAAGTTTAGAATTTTGTTTTTGAACTCGATTTCTTTTTATATTTTTGTTATAGAGTAAAGCAAAGAAAATAAATACATACATACATGTATAATATATTCATTCCTTAGTTGTTATTTGTGTTTTAAAAATAAAATACATAAAATTAAATTTAAATAAGCCTTTAGTATTTCATTAAAAAAAAAAGTATTGTTTCCATTTGAAAACTTGAATTTTTCGATTTTGCCGATGTTCTTTTTTTACAAGCTTTTGTTTTACTTGCTCTGTATGTATGTTTGTATGTTTGTTTGGGTCAAATCTGGCAATCCATTTTTAACCTACTTCTTGATGACCTAGGGACTTGAAAATTCACAGTAGGCTTAAAACGCCAACCACAATGCAATACGAAAGATGAATTAATACGATAGGTGGCGCAGGAGTCGAGATATTTCAAAAACCCGTATTTGTAATCCGATTCGGTTCATATTGTATTAATTAGATGAAAAGGAATAACTCCAAACAAATGTTGCCGATAAATGATGCTGGAAAACGAAGCCTAAATGTACCCCATAACTATAAACAAATGTACAAAAATTTATTCCTTTATTTTATTATTTATTTATTTAATTATTATAACATACTTCCACAGTCTACTTATTATGCATTCAAATCGCAGCTGACAGCAATTTGAAAACGTCAGAGATGAGGAAAAGAACTAGCATAACATTAAAATCACAAAAAAAAAATTGTACGTCAACTCAGAACTTCATATTATGTAAACAACCCGAATTTCAAGTCGATAGCATCAAAAACAACGACGTTGTTGTGAGTCGGTCAGATCGGGTATATGACGGCTATATGATATAGTACCTCGAACCAAACGAACTTTGTAAAGCATATCTAAATTGAATTTCGCTCTGATATCTTCATATTTAGACTTTATGCAACAATAATCAATTTTTAGCCCAGTACGCTTATTTTCGATTCTGTAGGATCCGGTTTCGGTTCTTTTGGAATGATTTTTCAGGTATTTTTACTTATTCTTTCGGTTATTCTAATCATTCATCATTTCCCGATTCTTCAGGAACCGATTTTCGGTTCTTTTAGGATCGAGTTTCGGTTCTTCCAGAACCGATTTTCAGTTCATTTCGAATTGAGTTTAGGTGCTTCCGAAATTGTGTTTCGTTTTTTTTTTTGGAGAACCGTTTTTCGGTTCTTTTGGAATCGAGTGTCGGTCCTTACGGAGCGGTTTTTCGGTTCTTGTAAGAACCGAACCGGTCGGTTCTTTAAAGGACCCGGTTCTCCTGTTCCAGTTCCTCGATTCTGTGCATCACTAACAGCCACCGCGCCAAAGAACTGTCAAATATCCCCATGCCCAATTTTTATGAAACATACCACAATAACGCAGCGCTTGGATCTACACTATGTTTCGTTCGCGTGAAATTACATTGCCCTTGGGCAACACTGATCAGAGTCATCAGAGGCTTTTCGCAGAGTAGAGTCGTTTCTCCCTTGCTTTGGTCACTTGTGATAGGCGACCTTTTAATTAGACTACATGAGTGTGGACACGATGCTGTGGGTTCCGCGGATGACCTGGAAATTATAGTAACGGACAATTTCAGCAGTACTGTCTTGGACGTTACAAGTGCAGTTGTTCCAGGTGCCCAAATTGGTGTGCCTATAAGGGCATCAGCATAAATCCTCAGAAGGCTGTTTTTGTACCGTTTATAACAAGGTATGAATCAAAACTTGGTTCGGTTACTCTAGGAGGGACAGTGCTTACAGTTTTTTCAGTTAATATTGAGCAATCGTGAGCTTTTCATATCAGGGAAACTCCCTATGAGGGCTCACGCAACCGAATATAAGTATTACAAAATTAAACAGCTCGGAGGCATGGATAATGAAAACACTTGGCATTTCCAATTAGCGTCAGTTGGCACTGAAGAGAAACGAATGGCGTGCTGTTTTGGACTCGGCGAAATCGCTTAGGCGGTTACAGCGCCAATAGAAAAGAAGAAGAAGAAATAGAATTGGGAAGAAGCTGCTGATCTTTGTCAACTACTCATATAATTTGTTTGAGTCCATGCGGTAGAGAGGAGTGCCAAATGGTGACGAAAGCTTTCGACAGGTCCAACCTAACCACGTGTTTATGGAAGTGTTGAGCAAATTTCTCCGGTTTAAGTAGTGCGACCACTCTCCACAAATCAGGAATAACGAGAATAGCAATCGAGATCGAGAAATTGTGAACCTTTAGGTATTCTACTGTTACTCAATTTTGTCTGCATCAGTATGCCTATTTCGTCGGGGTCATTGGCTTTGGAGGCTTTTGTTTTCCCGATGCCCACCATCCCAACTTTTCTGTTGATTAAAGTAAGGCACGCTGTGGATTTTATCAGATTCTTGATCACGAAATTTTTGGCATATTCCCCCAAAGGACACCATATAAAGTGTCCTCTGAAGTAGTTCCACGCTTCGGATCTGACAAGGTGCGACCACCGGGATCATTCTGGCGAAGATGGTAACACTTATACGCCAGTACACCGATAAGACGATGTCACTTGCGAGCTTGACAGAAGGGTTGAGGTGTGAAGCAACTTCGTCTCTTGGGCCATAGCTCAGAGTATTCCAATCCGACACGTGACAACGTTTACTTCTTCAGTCTTACTCTGTGGTGCATTGGATTTCAATTACAGTATTTTAGTCTTCTTAGGTGTCTGGCAGCGATTCGAGAAGTGTGGAATAAAAGGGGTTGGCAACCTTGTACTTATTCTTCCTGCCGCTTATGTAGTTATGGGCTATTGGTGGTCGTTGGCAGTATCGCGTCAACATAAATCTACAACACTCTCAAGGGAATTAGAGCGGTATGAAGGTTGTGGAAGAATAGGAGTATGGCGGAAGTTTTGTTGCTCATGAGAGCTCCGTTAAGCCATAGAAACTCCCTGGGCTAGAGCGTACCTGTGCGAGTTGTTGGCAGCGGTGGAGGCAGTGAGTGCCCTTTAGCTCTGGCAGCAAGGAGCCACCAACCGTTTGGTAGAGGCCTTTTGTGGTCTGACGCCAGAAGAGGTATTTTGATGCCTTTTTGGGGTTCGCCGATCCAAATGGGGTCAAGTCGCAGGGACGAAAACCCATGGTCGGGAGCTATTCCGGTGCATTGAACCGGCTGTCGCGGGAATTTAGATACCTTCATCTGTTTAAGTTGGAATGGAGCCTTCTTAGACATATTCAGCAGATATAGGTTTCTAGTCTGGGGTTGGACCCGATACCAGGCAAAATTAAAAGAGTCCGAAGCCACTTCGCTGCATCTCAACTACAGCGCTTCATAGAGTAAACCCAGTAGCACTCGAGTAGAACTGTTAGTCGTGATAAAATATAGTCGGATTTTTGTTTCAAGAAATGTAACCTTCTGCCACACTAAGTACTTGTGTCGTTTATATGACTCTTCAGATTTTTCTACCAGAAAAGTAGCAGAATAATAGTTTGGCCTGGCGCTCATTTGCTGGTTTTTTGAGTTGAGAAACACTATCAGAATATAACTTATGTATGTCGGCAAATTGATTTAAATTTTTTATATGTATATACATAATTCTATTTTACGAGAGGCAGGTGCGTATTTTGCCAACACTGTGCGAATAATATACTACAATACACAACACCCTGTTAACTACCCAGGTGTGAAACAGCTGATCAGCTGTAAAGGTTTATCATTTGGCACAAACAATTCGCGGTCATCACGTCAGAATTTAGGAAACTTTTTCGACCTCGATCTTGAACTAGAACGTGCTGTCGTGAGCAATATTTTACATAACGATGAAGAGATGACAAAGAAATTCTACATCAGACTACAACTAATTAAAATATACACTTAACTAAATTTCGCTGCAGTCTTAAAACATTAAGTTGTCGCATTGTGTGTGCCTCGTTGGTGATTACAAAACAAAAGTGCAAAATGATGAAGGCAATAGGCATAAGCTCCCGTTTGAACCTTGGCGCTGATTATCAACATGTACTTCTGGCACTACATTCGCAAACCTTCGCTCAAAGGCGGCATATAAGCCCCTTGTCTGTGTACAACAAACGCGTTGAAAGCAAGGAATTGATGCCAGACACTGAACAGGAAGCGACTACGCAAAGGCTGGAAGCACTTTACAATAGCATACAGAGTTATCGACCAGCTCAGAAAGCTACTGGCGGTGGGTTTTTAAGCTCTTTACTCAGAGGCGGTAGAAATAAAAATGGAGTGGAGTTAAATGTAGGCGACGATGTACCTCAGGGACTGTATATATTCGGAAGTGTTGGCGGTGGTAAAACTACTCTAATGGATATGTTCTTTGATGCATGCACTGACGTAAGAATATACTTATGTACAATTTATTTGAAGGCCTTTTTAGTTTCATTTTGTATGAACTATTTAACATTAGATTAAAAAAAAGCAGCGTGTCCATTTTAATTCATTCATGACGGATGTACACAAACGAATACATGTCACGAAAGAGCAAAGAGGGCCTGCTGACCGCGCCTTTAACACAGAAAGCCCAATACCTTATGATCCCACACGTCCGGTAGCTGATCAAATAATAGCGGAGTCTTGGCTTATTTGCTTTGATGAATTCCAAGTGACTGATATTGCGGATGCTATGATATTAAAACGTTTATTCACTCATTTATTTAACGATGGCCTTGTCATGGTAGCTACGAGTAATCGACATCCTGAGGAATTGTACAAAAACGGTTTGCAGCGTAGCAATTTTCTGCCTTTTATCGATATATTGCAGCACCGTTGCAAGGTTAGCGAATTGAACAGCGGCATTGACTATAGGCGCATTGCTCAATCGGGATCAACAAATTACTTTGTGTATGTATAAAATAATGAAACAGATTTGTGATAAATAATACTATTATTGATACTATTATTTCTTAACATGTACATTCACTTTAGCAAATCGGAAACGGACGCTGATGCCGAAATGAATCGCATGTTCAAAATTCTTTGTACACAGGAAAATGATATTGTGCGACCACGCACCATAACCCATTTCGGAAGAGATTTGACTTTTCAAAAAACTTGCGGACGTGTCTTAGACAGCAGCTTCAACGAGCTCTGTGATCGCGTATGTGACAAAAATGCATAAACCACTCTGACCTTGTTTATTATATGAGATTTCTTTGTACTTTAGCCTCTGGCGGGGAGTGATTACTTGCAAATCGCACAACTTTTCCATACAGTGCTGATAAACGATGTGCCTAAGATGAATTTATTTATTAAGAGTCAAATGCGTCGATTTATTACGCTAATTGATACGCTTTACGATAATCGTGTGCGCGTGGTTATCTCCGCCGAAACGCCGCTAGCATCACTTTTTGACATTACAGACAAGCCAGCAGGTCTAGCGGATTCTGAGCGTACTCTAATGGACGATTTGAATATTCAACAGGGCTCTGTGAGTAAAATGGAGGAAGTACCAATAACATACATATATTTTAATACGCTTATTTTTCCTATAATCTTATAGAAAGAATCTACGGCTAATTATTTTACTGGCGACGAAGAAGCTTTTGCATTCGATCGCACAGTATCGCGCTTATATGAAATGCAAAAGAAGGAGTATTGGGAGCAATGGGCTAAGCATCGTTGAAAAGTTTTGTATATTGTTCGAACAGCACACAACTTGGCCAGTGACCATACATGCATACATATGTACTTAATTTAAATTTTAGTTAAAGACCAAAAACATCATTTTAAGTTAAACAAATTTGCCAGGCTTTTTTGTAGTTTAATGTACTCTGATTCGAGTATATTTTAATATTTTTAGGCTCAAAGCTTAAAATTATTATTTATGTTGATACACACGTATGTATAACTGCATATATTTAATTTGTTAGTCGAAGCAAACCCTGCCACATATTTAAAGAAAACGCTTTAATAATAGTATTATTCAGAAAATATTTATTTGCTAAAGCAATATTAGCCAATTTTAAGTAACTAAGAGATAGCAATTACTGTACAACGATAAAAGCAATAAAATGTTCATACATACATACACATGTACATATGTAAAAAAAAATGTCGTTTATATATTTATATTTATTCATTTTTAGATATCTTTTACATCTTTCAGGCAAAGGCGTCTTAATAGATGGAAAGTTGTAACACAAAATACTTTTTATCTCGGTTTTTAACATTTTGAAGCCAAATCATAGAATTATGACTCATAAACACAATTTTTTTGGTTTTTATAAACTTCGTTTTCACAACCAAAAAAACAAGATTTTTCAGCACACTCTACACTAGTTTTTTTTTACTTACGACAGTTGTTTAGGAAAAGAGTGTTATGTAACAGTCCATAGTGCTTCGAATCAAATTTTTGATCGTAATTTATAAAGTCAGCGGTTTACCGAATGTAGCGTGCCAAAGAATCTGACAGCTAACTGCTGCCAGATTCTGATTAGAGTTCATGATTCAATAATGAAAGGTTTTGTAAGAAAAACTTTCTCTCGCTCTAATTTTATCAATGACACTCCCACCCTACTCCTAAAAACAAAAACAGTGATATTTCTTTTCCGAATTTCCTTGCAAGTTTTAAGAACATTTTTAAAATGTTAGTAGTGAAATTTTTACTTTTTAAATTTGAAGAAATGTTTGTTCTTCATTCGCTGGCGCCAACAGGACAAAATGGGTGAGAATCGTTGGACTACAGAAATTCAATGTAGGCTAAAGAGACGAAATTCCCTTAAAGGCCGAAATGTATTTGTCGATATTCTTGGAGACCTCTTGATTCTGCCAAGTCGCTGTAAAGTAAAGCGTACAATGGTTTTGGTAAATAAGCCAACGAAGGTATTTAGGTATTGTCCTCCACAACACAATCCTAGTGTCTCCGAATGAGACTTTGACGCATAGGCCCAATCGTCACACGACAGCTCGGTTTAGTCAATGGCGCGAAGTAATTGCACACCTAAAAGGTGTACGCACGAGGCGAACGTTGGCTGGCGACCAACTTTGTTGAAAGCGATTTAGTTGAAAGGCCGTTCAACTAAAAGTAGAACGCAAAGTTGAACAATGCAAACGCCTTTTTATGGCGAATATTTTGATATTTTTTTATATTTTGATATTTTTAGTCATTCAAATTTTTTTTCGTGCAACCCGGCGTGAGGTGAACGCAAAAGTTGCCTGAAAATCGCCTCGTGCGAAAACCCCATTACGCCACTTCTCATTTGACGATGTAGATCACGTTCCCTATCTCAGTCGTTCAGTAGCTGCGTGTCATTTTTATTCTTCCTGAGTTCGTCCGGCACGAATCGCCAATTGCGGCTGTGTAAGCCAGTGTTGAATATTCTCCCCAGAACATTAAAAGTGCGACATCAAAGAATTCGAATTACCATATTCGAAACAATCGAGCCATAACCGCGAAAGAAACGTAAGCTCCAAATTTTTTTATTTGCCGTTTTTTTTTTAAATAAATATTGCATATTTTCCACAAACAAATAGCTTCTTCATATCCATCATCTGGCAAACAAATACAACAATAAAAGCTGAAAGTGGACCATCCCTCGAGTTATGCGCCATCTGACGTTCGCAAGTTTGGTATATATGTACATAGAAATATTTATTTTTAATAACAATTGGGGGTTATATTCGATGTAAATAAGCTTGTTTAAATTAAGCAATTAAATCAAATTCGTTTTTGTTTTAAAATACCACCATTCACTATTATCCACACCTTTTTATGGAATTTAGCTCCCATTTTAGGAAGTGTGATTGAATTCTTCCCCTTTTTCTCCTGCTTCCATTAATCATCCCTGTGGGTGGGAGTGCCAAATTTTAGAAAAAAGCTACTTACAAAACCTTTAATAATTGAATCATGATTAGAGTTGTTGATAGCTGTTCACGCACCGTCATTTCTTATCAACAAGTGCACTGGAACAGAAGATTCGATAATTAGTATATGTATTAAATATGAAAGTGAATGCAATTTTACCATTTGGTATGTATAAAGTCCTAAATAGAAAATATTTCCAATATAAATCAAAACAACAAATTTTAGACGAGTCGCTGCTCGATTGTGTGATCTCTAGTCGTCAGTTGGAACAAATTGCTGCAGAAATTTCCAAGCGGGGCAGCGTATCGGGCCTTAATCGAGTAGTATGGGCGTTAAAAGCACTTACCTTGACCGATTCGACCACGTTGGGCGGCGATGACACCGCTGCCAACGTTCGCAGTCTGTGCCAGCGCGCTGCATTTCCTATACCAGAGCATATATTGCTGCAGCTTGGTGTCAAACCGACACTGCTTCCGCATATACACACGGCCGCCGTATGTGTATATCCAGCGCGTGTTGTCGATGCCACTGCGAAGTTGAAGCAATTAAACAAATATAATGTTATACCAATAGCGTCCGTGGCAACCGGCTTTCCAGCTGGGCAATATGGGCTGGATTCGCGTCTGAGCGAAATCCACTTTGCTATTGAGTCAGGGGCCACAGAGATTGATATTGTTATAAATCGTCAATTAGCACTTGTAGGTGATTGGAAGGGTGTCTACAACGAGGTGTGCACTATGCGCAAAGCTTGTGGTGAAAGAGCGCATCTGAAAACAATATTAGCCATAGGGGAACTGGGTAACATGGAGAATGTAAAATAATTTTGTTTTACTGTGTACATCAAGTGATAAAATTATAATTTTTTAATTCGTTCAGGTATATAAGGCGTCTATGGCCTGCATGTTAGCTGGCGCTGACTTCATCAAAACATCTACCGGCAAGGAGACTGTAAACGCAACACTCCCAGCTGGATTGGTAATGATTTATGCTATACAAGAGTTTGAACGCCGAAAAAACATTTTGGTGGGGCTAAAGCCAGCGGGTGGAGTGCGCACGGTCCCCGATGCAATTGCTTGGCTTACACTCGTGAAAGAAACTTTGGGCGCACGGTGGTTACAACCTAATCTTTTTCGCTTTGGTGCATCTGGACTGCTAGATAAAATTGTGGAAGCTGTTAATGAGCTTGTCAAAGGTCAGCAAGTGGCAGACAGTAACAGTGCTGACGCCAAGGTAGCTGCAAAATAATTAATGCAGTTATGTATTAAAATTTTCATTCTGGAAATGCAGACATTTAATTTTAAACATTTTGATAAAATATTTCGCACGTTTAATAATATAACGAAGTATTTCAAAATTTCAATTTTGTGGGAAAACGCAATCAAAGTTTTACCAATTCATACAAATGGTATAGAAAAAACAGATGGAAAGACACCTATCTTCGCCATATTTGGGAAGTTTGGTTATCTGTTAGGCTGAACATGTTCTACATATCAAGCTTATTAACTGCATAATGAAATCTCCAAAAACGTAAATTTCGAGTTACATCTCTATATCGCTAGCTTAGAGTGAAAAGTAGCTAAGTTCCAATTTAAAAATTGTACAGGAGAGGGAAAAAACTTGTATAGCCATTTTCTGCAAGTATTTCGCAAAACTTTCCCTGTTTAAAGCAAAGCCAAACTCTATACGAATCAGAAAGTTTCGATCTTTTTAAAAGATTTCGACCTATTTTAGCCTTATTGCATTTTCTGAGCTTTTTTGGACTTAGCAAAATATCCTTTCTATGAATATAAACGAGAAAACATAAAACAAGGACCTTCATTTTCGAATCGACGCATTTTTAATTTCTCTAGCAAATTTTCACTCTAAGCTATTATATTATTAAACGTGCGAAATACATATTTTTTTTTTAATTCGACTATTAAACATTAAATTATTGGATGTCATTTTAACCTCTCAAAGACTGGTATCTGCTGGTATCTAAAGCACAAGTGATTTTGCTGCCAATATTTGCATCGCCATTTCAGATGTGTTGATTTTATTTGAAATTATACCCCACACACATTGGTTTTTTGGTAAATTTTTACAAGATACCTATTTATGTACATTTGATTTACATGATAATAATAAATTATGACTGAACCTTTTAACTAGACTTTGGACACGCGGTGTGCTACTTGCCCAGCGGCCGAAGCCAATAAGTCCTCCTCGCCACCCTCTTCACCCTGATTGAGAAACTCTTCTTGCGCCTGCGTACCATTGCTCTCGACATGTTCCTCCTTATGGGGTTGATTATTGGGTATTTTCACTTGCATATCAACGCCAAAGAAAGAGTCATCAAAGTTAATACGATTGCGTTCATCGTGTAGTAAATATACTGCTTTCGGCAATCGACCACTAGCATCGTTTAAGGCTTCCTTTTCGAAAGCATTTAACCATTTTACATTAACTTGTTTGGTACCAGCATTAAATTTTTTCGGTAACTTTTTAGGTTTTGCAGCATAGTAATTGGTTTGATCACCTCCTTTGCCTGGAGCTGGTGGTGGCACAATATGCTCCAAACGTTTACTCTTGGTATCCAATTTGCCATGATCATAATCGAAGAGTGGCATGTAGAAATTGAACGGTTGCACCGAGGGCGGTTGAATTTGCCGATAGGGAGTTGCCACTTCAGAAGCAGCAACTAAAGGTTGTAATTGACTTTTTTGCTGTGCTGCCATTGATTTTGATTCGTCTGAAACGTAGGCATTTGGTCGGAAGAGTTCACCCGCACGACGCAGCAATGATTCGAAATCCTCAAGTGTAATATAATGCGGTTGCATAAGTTGCATATCTTCAATAGGATATTTTGGTGTAACAGTAACTGTTGCTGCTTGACTGTGAGACATTGACTGTCGCTCAGATAGCTTTGATGGTGCTGCTACAGCGATGCCTAACATCAATAGCCAATGAAACTGAAGGAAAATAATAGGCCAATGAAATTTATGCAACTAAATAACATTTTCCACACTCACATAAATCACGCTTTTAGTCATCATTCACGTATTTGTACTTTTTAAAATAACGATAACTTCGATACAGCTTCGCTTACTGACTCGTAATATAGTACAATCACCGCGTCGGAACGTTAAATAAAACTCCAGCAGGCGCACAATGCCATTTATATCATAGGAAAAGCGTCACAACAGAAAAGAAAGCATGTGGGGTAGTTATCCACACATATACCAAAAACGGAAGCTCGGAAGTCAAATCAGCGCGGGCAACTCAAACCAGTCTGTATACAAAGTGGGAAATTAAGTAAATAGTGCGCTCTTGCAGTGGTATGCCTGCCTGCCCACGGGGAAGTGAACTTATTTAGCTGTCTTTAATGTGTGTTTTTGTATTATTAAAAGAAAAATAGTTAATATAAGTGAGTATATGGTTAAATAATAAAAAGTATGCGAACAACTTAAATTCATTTAAAGTTTTTATTTTGCAAAGCTAGTCTGCAAACTGCTCCCAACCAGCATCGGCCAATTCAACAAACAGCGATCGTAATGATGTTAATGTAACACCAGCAAAAATTACTGTCAAACACAACAAAACCGGCCGCGAAAAGCTTGCGAAAACTGGAACCAACTGTCGCGTGTCTGCTTTGGATGCGAAATAAAACAAAGATGCTATTGTTTAAACTGGCTCTGATAGATGCAGAAAACAAGTCGCACAGCTAAAGTCAATAGTTGCGGCTCAAAATGCGCACGCTCATATGTACATATGTACATACATACATACATACATAAGTGCTGCGAATATTTAAGCTAAGGAAACATGCAGGTTTGTATGAATATTCACTTATGGTGTGTATACATGCAGGCAATTGTTGATATGAGCATATTTAACTAAAAGAAGTAAAAAGCTAAATAACGAATTTTAAGAGCGATCTTTTAATGCGAAATATAGTCAGTATTTCCAATGTAGCAAGCATAGCATTTCAAAAATTTTCCTGCCACGAGCTCGCAAGAGTACATTGACATGCCGTTGAAGCTGCATATTTATTTTACCATTATAATCAGCCGCGAAAGTGACTACTGCATCTCACACCTGCAATAATCAAAGCTGCAATCTTAGTGAACTTGCTCGCATCTAAATACAAGTTCAAAGTTATTACAGCTTGATTTTAAGTAAAATCATAGACAACTATGGACGCGTTAAATGCAAAGATATATATATATATATTTTAGCTAATACTCAAACAGGAAATATTAAACAATAATGCAGCTACCAACATACAAGGACGCAGATGCAATATAAACGATGAAATATGTTTTGAAAAAGTTTCGCGTTAAGAAGTTAATTGTTGTATGCGACAAAATGAAAATACCTGCTTATGAAAAAAATATTGTATTACATAAAATGAAATACAAACAAATGGTGATAATGAAAATCTGGTATTTTATACTGAATATACAATATGTAATGGGAAAATAGTAGGTTGAGCTGGCTGTGTTAGACCCGGTCTTACGCAGAAACAATTGAAATCGTAATTTTCCACAAATCAACTTACTTAAAACCAAATTAGGTTTATCGCAAATTCCACGTAAAAAACTATGCATTCTCAAAAGTTATACATGGTATTAGCAATCACCTGATTTTCCATTATACGAATGCAAAACAATTTATTCATTTATTTTTACTTACTCCAGATATAAAATATTTCGTTAAATCTTCCTTTATTTCTAATCAATCACTACTAAACTCGTACCAGCTCAGGCATGCCTTCCATGATAATTTGTAATGCTTTCAAGTCCTTTGTTACGACTTCTGTCAGTACTTCCATCGCTTTCTGCTGCATAGCCAAAAATGATTTCATTTCCTCCTCACTATCCTTGTCTATAGCATATTCACTACCACCGCTGAAAGCATATTGATTGCGTTGCATGCGCATTTGGGATAAAAGTTCGCTGAGACGTCCCTGTAAACACAAATTAATTAAATAAATTAATGTTTGTTGAGGCATGACACGTTAAAAATTACAAGTTTATCCACATACCTTAAATTGTGTTGGAGCTGATACTAAGGCTTGCATATTTTCGAGCTTTGTTCGTAGCGCCTCCTCTTCTGGTGTTAATGCCAGTCCGATTTTGCGAGTGCACTCTTGCTTTACGATAATCTATACATAAGAGCATTACATCAAATCGTTTTAATAAATTTTGTTTTCCAAAAAAAAAAAAAAAATTTAAGAAAATTACATACTTTTAATATATTATGACTTAATTCTGCTAATTTTCGCTTGTGCTCCATTATTCTTGCTGTTGCTGCAGTATGTCTTTGCCTTAATTCAGCCAAGTCCTTTTCTACTTTCTTTAGATATAGCGCATGTGTTTCTGTTTCATGCTCTTGACACTTTGTGCGCCATTTGAGGTCATTGAACCCAATCATTGGTACTGGTATGAACTTAGATTTGTCTGGATTATCCAATTTGGCTTGACGCCACATGCGCGGATCAATGCCCTTTGGTGGATTCTCTAAATATTCTTTAAGTTGATCTTCGTCGGGCAAAACCAATGCCAGCACTTCAGCAATACCAAGAGTGGCTAATTGTGCTTTCATGTTCGCCTGATTGAGATAGCTGGAAACTTCGGTGGCGAGTATGCGTTTCGTTTCGTTAGGGGACATTTGGGAGCGCTCCTCTACGTATATGACTAACTGACACTTATTCTGTTCATGCTCTTTGCTGGACTCAATATTTATAGCCAAGTTCGGTTTATTGCCAAAGACGCTGTTAAGTGAGGTCATAATTTGCTGTTGTTGAGCTCTAAAAAAATGTGTTTACATGTTAAAAGACATTTAAAATATGCAGTTATGTACTAATTATTTTCTCACTTTACATCCACCGGTTTATTAAAATTCAGCGCGACCAATCCCATTTTATTATCTTTTCCCGGTAAGCGGCTATAGCCCATTGCCTTGAAACGGCATAAATAATTTTGGGGCGTAATTTCGACCGGAACTGCATTTTGTGAGTAAAACGATTTTCCGGTACCCCACAGAGCTTGCAGGTAATTCCATTTGGCAATAATGGTGT